CCTCTCTCAGTTGTAACCTTGATTTTGCTACTGGCCAAATTTAATATTGTTTTCAGCTGCTAATCTTAAACTGTTTATTATTATTATTATTATTATTATTATTGTTATTTTGTAAGATTATTGAGCAATATTTACAATGTTACCATTAAGGCTATATTTGAGGTTTAATAACAAGATGTAAATAATTTTAAGTTAAGTTAATGTTGTATACAGGCCCTTAAGTTTGTTGCTAAATTCATGCTCCGAATGTCATGTCATACCTTCCTGTCGTTCTCTAAGCCACTTTTCTGAAGGTGCTCGGACGGTACAGTCGTACTGGTCCCTTTAATAATAATTTTATCCCTCATCCCTTCAGAAAGTCAAAATTTTGTCAGTTTCCTTGAATTTCACTTTAAATGAGTAAGGGTTAATTGCTCGTAGTGGCCTAGTGCTCGTGGAAATGTTTTTCCCTTGTGTTATCGAGAAAGTTCCGTGACCTCGTTTGAGATCATCGCCGGTAAGTTTGGTTTTCCAAGTTTATCTAAGGCATCCTGCCTAATTTCGTCTTGTATTATAGATTAAAGTGCATTTGGATGGCCTGGGAGATGCCCTCTATCAATATTTTCGTGGTTGAGCCACTCTTTTTGTCTACAGATCCTTGATTTTCAAGGTAAGCTTGCTTCGGCTAAGATAATCCCTTAAATAACCATGCAAGGGTTGTTATAAAAGATAAATATAATTATTAGGATCTACCGAGGGGCCCCAACTGTAGTGGTGCCAGTAACCAAAAACCACTGCAATTTTATCTACAAGAGTGTGCAGCTCGCAGCCTCCAGCACCTTTAGAAATGTCTTCATGGTGGCTCTTATGAGGGTTTTTTAATTGAACTCACTCTAGATGGACATGGATTAAACAGGTTTTTTTATAATTATAAGGTTTTTTTTTTTTTTTTTTTTTTTACGGATATGCGCACTCGCAAGGACAATGTCCTATCACGCTCGAGAAGCGGCAAGTGCGCGGAAATGTCGGTGTATGTTGGTCTTGAAACGGTTCAGGTTGTAACCTGCAGGGAAAACCGTCGCAGGGAGTTTATTCCACAGCGATGCTGTTCTCCAGAGATATGAATTCTGATATAATGAGGTTCTTGGTGCCTCTAGTTTGACAGTAAATTCATGGTTACCGTCTGTTTGACGCGTTCGCCTGGTAGGTGCTACTCTCGGTGGAATCATACGTGCCAACTCTTCAGAGCATTTTCCGTGATAGTACCTGTAGAAGAGAGATAAATCGCCCACAGATCTGCGATGTTCGAGACCATCCAAGTTACGAGTAAGTGCGGGGTCATTGATCAGCTTGATAGCTCGTTTTTGCACGGTATTCAAAAGCATTAAGGTATGTTTGGGTGCAGCACTCCATATATGTGAGCAGTACTCCATAGTTGGTCGAATCTGGGCTTTGTAGAGTGTCAGCAATTGGCTTGGTGTGTACAGATGTCTTGTACGAAATAGCACCCCCAGCTTTTGGGAGGCCCTTTTAGCAATATCTGCCACGTGACTGTGCCAAGACATGTTGGTCTCTGCAGTAACCCCCAAGATGTTGAACTGACTCTGTAATGTGACAGCACTTCCAGATAGCATGATGTTTGGCTCACCGGTGCTGGTCTTTTTTGAAAACAGAGCTGCTTGGGTTTTCTGCGCATTGAACTGTACAAGGTTTTTGTTACCCCAGTCCTCTATTATCTCCAGGTCGTTATTTATCTGCGATATTTGAGTTAGTCTAAGATGATGGAATTCACGTGCGGAAAGACCTGTGGGTGGTATGAGTGAGGAGACTACATTGCCATCGTCTGCAAAGCAATAAAGTGGATTTACTATTTTATCTATGAGGTCATTTATGTAAATCAGGAAAAGAGTTGGCGAAAGGATTGCTCCCTGTGGCACACCAGCATTTATTTGGTAAGAGTTGGAGTTCTGGCCATCCAGTGCAACATAAATGGATCTGTCCTTTAGGTAACTTTCAAACCAAGTGCAAAGTTTCGGCGATAATCCCATTGCTTTGAGCTTGTTGAGCAGATTTTCATGCCAAACTTTGTCGAATGCTTTAGATATATCTAAGGCAATTGTTCTTGTTTCACCCCGCAACTCAATCGCTTTTTGCCATAAGTGAGTGACGTATGTAAGTAAATCGCCAGTTGATCTATATTTTCGAAATCCGTATTGCTTATCGTTGATAATTTTGTACTTTTCCAAGTACTTGGTTAGGTGATTGTTCACAACTCTTTCCATTACTTTTGATATCACCGGAAGTAGAGCAATTGGTCTATAGTTTAACGGATCTGTCTTTTTTCCTTTCTTTGGAATGGGTTGTACTGCGGCAGACTTCCATGATGATGGATATACTCCTTGCCTGTAAGACAAATTGAATAATTTTGCGAAAGTTGGGGTGAGTTCGTTGGCGCAATTTTTGAGTACTATTGCGGGAATGCCATCCGGACCCATTGCTTTGTTTGTATCCAGCGTTTTTAGGGATTTTCGTATTTCTCTGTGACAAAAGGGTACCTCTGGCATACTATGGGAAACCCTTTCAATGAACGGTGGAGTTTTTCCGTTTGGCACTGTTAGGTTGGAGTTGGAGGAAAACATTTGGGCAAGCATATTGGCTTTTTCCTCTGATGTTGTGGCTAAGTGATTATTTTTATCTGTAAGTGGTGGTATGGATGACTTGGTGAAGTTAGATCCAACAGCTTTAGCAAGAGACCAAAAAGACCTAGAACTACTTGGACAATTCAGCAACCTGTTTTTTATTCTTTGATTGTATGTTTCTTTAGCGGAGTCAATAGTAATTTTGCAACTATTTCTGGCTTCTATAAATTCTGTGTGGTTTTGAGCGGTTTGTTGTCGTTTCCAAAGGTTATATGCTCTGTGTTTTTTCTGTACAGCCGTTTGACACTGGCTGTTGAACCAAGGTTTTGCATTAGCTCTACGTTTAGTTGTATGTGGGATATATGCGTCCATTCCAGATAAGATTACTTGTGTTATTTCATTACAGCAAATAGTGGGATCAGCTGTTTTAAAGCAAACCTCTTGCCATGGAAAATCCAGGTAATACTGTTTTAGGTCATTCCATTTTGCCGATTTATAGTGCCACATTTTACGAGGAAGTGGTTGTAGGCTTGGTGGGATGAGCATTTCGCACTTTGTTATTATAAGTTTATGATCGGACGAACCAAGTGGAGCATCTACTTAAATTGTGTACGAGTCAGGATTGGTGGTTAGGAACAAGTCTAAAAGCGCTGCAAATTCGCCCCTTTCTGAGATACGGGTAGGTTCATCGACAAGCTGCGTTAGACCACAACTTATGGCAAAAGCTTCTGCTTCTCTGCCTTCGTTATCTGTTTTGTTGTGGTGTTTCAGCCAGGGTATATTGTGGACGTTGAAATCGCCTAAAAAGACAATTTCCGCCTGTGGATAGTTTGACTGTATACTATCACAGCTTTCGGATAATGTCGCGAAAAAGTTTTGGTACTCGGTGTTAGATGGCGGTCGGTAGAGGCAGCAGATAAACTTGGTCGATGACTTTGAGGTGAATTTTAGCCATATGATATCAAGGTTCGCTGGTTCTAGCTTCTCCTCTCGATGACATGAAAGGTCATTTTTAATGTACACACAGATCCCAAAATTATGTCGAAATCGGTGGTGTAGGTCATAGCCGGGATAAAGATAGTTCACAATAGGTGTTGCAGAACTGATTTTAGTTTCAGTGAGAACAAGGATGTCAGGTCTTTGTTCTTCAAGATGTTGGTGAACTGAATTCCTATTTGTACTTATTCCTCTTATATTGCTAAAATCAATTCTGAGTTGAGTTTTTGATCTTCTCTTTATATCTTTGCATGAAGGACCCCCAGGATCACCCGACGCCCGGAGATCCGAGTGGTCGGGTATTTTACCTCCGGAATATTTTGATCCTGGAGGCGCCATCATGCTATCTGTTACTCATTGTTGGGTTACTCAGGTTAACTTTATGTCTTAGATTCTTGGTTTCAATTAATTAGTTGAGGTCCTGATCAGGCCAAAAAGTCAAGGGTTATATTGTACTGTTACCTTGCACCGGGTGCAATGAATTCTTAGGGAAAATTTAAGCTTTTTTTAGATATAAGGATTAGGGAAAATTTCAGCTTTTTAGGTTTAAGAATTTAATGAGGGATATACATTTTTGCACTCAGACTTTAACAAACATCAAAGTTTCAATTAATAAACAAAACTAAGTGCAGACAGTTGTTACAATAATTATTTTTGGATTACCTATTTTTCAGATTTCTTTTACTATGCAATTTTTGATAAAGTTCATTTGAGGATTTGGAACTTAAAAATTAAATCTTCTGGCGCCCACTAAAGACACTCCTTATCCACCCTAATTATGCTCTCTGGCGAACAGCTGCCACTGCAGTACCCTTTTTGTTAAAAAAGAGGCTACATAAATTGACGCCCAATTGTGGGGCTCGAGTGTCTTTAAAAATTTTCTGAAAATTGTAACAACTATCTCTACTTGTTCTCTAGTTTCTTTGAGTAAATTATTAACTTATGCCTTTCTGCCTTTGTTCTTTAAATTGGTTTGAGTGGATGACTATTTTTTTTACCTGCACTCAAGTTTTTGAAATTTTTTTGTTTCAAAGTTATTATTGAAATGATCCTTTAACTGCGGGTGAATTTAAATTCCAATTTATTACCTTACATATTTACAGTACCTATATGTTTACCTTATAATTTTGCCTTTTTGCTATTAATAGTTTTTGGGTATTTTGATAGCATTGCTATTTACCTGATTTTGACCATGAATATTTTCCTTTAATTTTTTTGCCTGCAAAACAATTTTATATTGGTACCACATCAATAATACCAGTTCACTGAAATTTTTGATATAAATACTTAAGAGTCCTTACACTGATTATTTCTCTCAATTGAATTTTTCAATTTATCTTTCTTACTCAGTTACTTTCCTATCTATAACTTTATTTTTCTTTCAATATGGCTTTCTTTTCTGTCAATCATCTCTTGGATTACGAACTCGATTACGAACTAGCTGTCAGGTGCGTTGAAACGGTTCGTAATGTAACTGATAAACGTAAAATGCTTACTAAATTATTGAGGAAAGAAAGAAATGCTAATGACCCTGGTTCTCAAGTTCATTTTGAAGAATATGATTATGATTTTAGAACTGAAGAAGCAGCTATTAATAAAAGTATTTTGTCAATTACTGATTTAATTATTGATTTTGAGGGTACCGAGAGTGACTCTTCATATACCCGAGTTAAATCTAGGTTGATTCAATTAACTGGTAGGGTAAATCGGTTGATAATACCTGAGCCAGATGATGATGCTGCTGTGGAACATTTTAAGAAGGAATCATGCTACCTGTATTTTGTTGGAATCTGACTTGGATGATAAAGTGACTCAAACTCCGGAAACAGCTAACTTAAGTTTTGTATCTCAACAGGCAGCGCCGATTGTTAATGTGAGCCCAGTTCTCTCTTGCAGTTCTAACAAGCAACCCTTATCTACTTGGGGTGTTAAATTCAGTGGAGACCCTAAATTTTTGTACTATTTTTTGGAAAGAGTTTCTGACTTGTCACAGGCTCGTGGTGTGACAGAAGTTGAACTTTTTAATTCAGCAGTTGAGTTGTTTGTTGGAGACGCATTTGTTTGGTTTCGTAGTGTTCGTACTCAGGTCAATGACTGGAGCTCTCTTGTTGTTCGTTTAAAAAAAGATTTTCTCCCTCCATATTCAGATGATGAAGTATGGGACAGTATCAGAAACCGGAAACAAAAGAAAAATGAGACAATTACTATTTTCATTGCCCAGCTTGAGAATCTTTTCAATCGTTTATCTACTCCAGTTGCTGATGTAACTAAAGTCAAGTACATCAAACGGAATTTACTCCCTGAATACATCCAACAGCTTGCCTTGCATCCAATAGATTCTATAGCTACCTTGACAAATTTGTGTCGAAACCTAGAAGAAGCTGTCTACCTTTCCTCCAAAAGATCACATAGCTCTCATATTTCTTATTTAGATGATTATTCTAATTCAGATTTAGTTCAAAATTCCCGTTCTGGCTTCACCAATCATAATCGGTCAAATAAAAATTCTAATTTTCATAAAAAATCAAATGATAGCCAAAGGCAAAACGTGAACTTTGCCCACGCTAGTGGTTCCAACTCTGGTTCGACTTCTACCTCCCAACCTAAACCAGCAGTTCCTTCGGAACAGGGTGGCAATGGGAAAACCCAAATAGTTTGTTTCAATTGTCGGTTGCCCAACCACATGTACAATGCTTGTACACTTAAACGTAAGACGTTTTGCTTCCGTTGTGGTGAACCAAATGTTAGGATATCGAACTGTCCTAAGTGTTCAAAAAACTAGATTCCTCAGTGCCTATTCGTGGTCGTGACACTGACCGGTTTCCTAAATTGGCCACCACTAAATCTAGTTATTTCAATCAGGAAGAGTGGAATAAATGGCTTTCCTTTATCTCAAGTTTTCATAAGAAATCTATTCAGCCAGGTAAGGCTCTTCCTTTATTTCTTGACAAGTTACCTGATAATAGGCCCTATATTTCCGTCCGAATTTTTGACTATCAGATTGATGCCTTGCTTGATTCTGGTGCTACCAATTCTGTTATAGGAGCTGAAGGGTTAGAGGTTTTAAATTTTCTCAAAATTAAAGTATTTGCTATAACTGATAGGCAAATTTTAACTGCTGATGGTGTACAACAACAAGTGATTGGTGTTGTTGATTTACCAATTTTTATTAATAATTCATGTCAAGTTATTCAAGCTCTGGTTGTACCTTCTGTAACACAGTCTTTTATCTTTGGTAGTGATTTTGCCAGAAAGTTTAATTTGATTTTGGATTTTAGTAACAATAGTTGGGAAATACCAAATTCTATGTCTGAAGCCCGTAATAATTTAAATAACTCTTCATTTTCTTTTAGTAAACTTTTCTCTTTACATGATCTCTCTCCTCCTGACACTTTAAGGGCTCAACGTGTAATTGATTCTTTCAAAAAAATAGATAGCAATGACAGAATTGGCAGAACTGATAAAATCAAGTTAACAATAGATACAGGTGACCATAAACCATTCAAGCGAAGACCACATTTTCTTTCCCCGTATATGCAGGATGTCCTGAATAAAGAATTAGATTCCATGTTGGAGCTTGGTGTTATAAGTGAATCAGAAAGTCCTTGGAGCTCTCCAGTTCTTCTTGTTAAGAAGGCTAATGGAGAATACAGGTTCTGTTTTGATGGTCGTTTCCTTAATGATATTAGTAAACACGATTCTTATCCCTTACCTCATGTTGATAGAATTCTGAATAACTTGCGTAATGCCAAGTTTATTTCTGCCCTCGATCTCAGAAAAAGTTTCTGGCAAATCCCTCTAGACGAGTCTTCAAAAGAGAAGACAGCTTTCTCAATTATTGGCAGGGGACATTTCCAATTTAATGTTGTACCTTTCGGTTTGTGCAATGCTGCACAAACTCAGCAAAGACTGGTTGATGCTATCTTTGGTCCGAAATATGAACCTTATATTTTCTCTTACCTTGATGATATTTTGATATGTTCTCCTACCTTGGATCATCATTTGGACTTACGTTAAAAATCTTCTAGAACACGCTGGTCTCACGATTAATTTGGAAAAATGTAATTTCTTTCAAACATCCCTTAAGTACCTTGGTTTTATTGTTGGTAACAATTCCTTAGCTACTGATCCGTCAAAAGTTGAAAGCATGGTTAATTATCCCCGTCCTCAAAATACTACAGAGGTTAAACGTTTCATAGGTATGTGCTCATGGTACAGAAGATTCATTAAGGACTTTTCCTCTCTTGTCAGTCCGATTAATTCACTTGTAAAGGGTAGAAAGAAAAAACAGGCTATCTCCTGGAGTGAGGAGGCTGAGAAAGCTTTTATCACCATTAAAGAGAAACTTGTTTCCGCACCGGTTCTTTCTCAACCTGATTTCTCTCAAGAATTTGTTGTTCAAGCAGACGCTTCTGACGTAGGTTTAGGCGGTGTTCTGACACAAAATGTGGATGGTGAAGAACGTGTAATTGCTTATGCTAGCAGAGCTTTGACTCGGGCTGAGCGTAACTACTCTGTCACTGAGCGTGAATGCTTAGCAGTGATTTTCTGTATAGAAAAATTTAGACCTTGGATTGAAGGGGTTCGTTTCACGGTAATCACAGACCATTACAGTCTTCTTTGGTTGAAAAATTTGAAGAATCCAGCTGGGAAACTCGCTCGTTGGCTTATTAAGCTTAGACAGCATACCTTCGAATTGGTACACCGAAAAGGTGCCCTAAATGTTGTGCCAGACGCTCTCAGTCGTATTCCTCATTCTTCACTCGATTCTGATGTTGAAGTCCAAGACGATTGTAAACCATCTACATCTGGTGATGTAACTCAAATTTCTGTTTTATCTTTCGATCTTTCTGAAGCCGATCCCTGGTATATTTCTTTGCGTTCCAAAATTCTTGAATCTCCAGAAAAATTCCCTCAATGGAAAGTGGAAAATCTTATGGTTTATAAATTCATTCCTTCTAAGTCTTACTATACCTTCAATAATCGTGAATGGAAAATTTTGGTACCTAAAAGTCATCGTAATAAAGTCCTAGACAATTGTCATAATCCACCTACCGCTGCTCATTTCGGTTTTCGTAAAACTCTATAGCGTGTTCAAGAGTCATATTACTGGCCTCATATGCGTTCTGACGTTTTAGGTTTTGTCAAAAAATGTTTGGTCTGTGGAGCGCAGAAGCATTCAAATCGTGCTAAGCCAGGTTTCATGGGTAAAGAAAAGGTAGCGGAACGACCTTTTCAGATTATTGCTCTGGATCTCATTGGTCCATTTCCTCGTAGCAGAAAGGGTAACAAGTGGCTTCTAGTAATTTCAGACTGGTTCTCAAAATTCACTCTAATTTTTCCTCTTAAGAATTCTAAGTCACCAGCAATTATTAAGTATCTTAAAGACGAAGTTTTTCTCAACTATGGAGTTCCTGAATATCTCATCTGTGACAATGGTCCAAATCTTGTTAGTAATTCTTTCAAGCAGGTCTGTAAAGATTTCAACGTTAAACAATGGTATACCCCTGTTTATTCACTGCAATGTAATTTTGTTGAAAGAACAAACAAGACCATTGGTACTGCAATTCGGTGTTATATCCGGAAACATGAAGATTGGGATATTCACATTGCTGAAATTAGACAAGCAATTAATACCTCTGTCCACGAAGTTACTGGTTTTCCTCCTTGTTATTTGAATTTTGCCCGACATGTTCCTCTTTCTGGAAATTTTTATTCTGAGTATCCACTTGATGAAAAGGTAGAATTGCTTCCTGGTGATAGAGACAATTATGCTAGGGAACTTGTTGATTTTCGCAAATTATTTCTTGAGGTACGTCAGAAACTTCACTCAGCTTATGAAAGGAATTCTAAGTCCTATAATCTTCGCCGAAGACCTTTGAGTTTCAAAGTTGGAGATAGAGTTTGGCGTCCTAATAAAGTTCAGTCTAGTGCAGCGAACAAGTTTGCAGCTAAGTTAAGCCCTAAGCATATTCTCAGTGTAGTTGTAAAGAAAGTTTCCACTGTGGTCTATGAACTGAAAAACATAGATGGTTCAAGGGCAGGCAAATGGCACGTAAAAGATTTGTTACCGTGCAATGATGTTGGTTCTGTAAATTCAGATGCTGATTCGTCATCTGATACCTCTGAGGAGACCTAAATCTCCAAATTAGTTTAACTTCTACCTCCATTTCCTATTAAGACCATATTTCTTATTATCTGAACTGCCTTTTGCTATTGAATTCTTGTTCTCTTTTTCAAATTTCCTCTGTCTCGGGCATGACTCCCTCTCGCAACGCAGAAGTAGGCATAGCTTTAAAGTGCGTTAAAGTTGCAAGGTATATGGAGTTTCCATTGAAAAGCCTTGTCGTGGCTATAATTACCAGTCGTTTTGTTTCTTCGTTTTTATTAGGTATTATTTGGCACGCCTTAAAGTAGCGTTAAATATAAGCAAGGGTTTGAAGTAAAAGCTTCATGTGACGCCTTGTCGTGGCATTGTGCTAGTTTTTTATTATTTGGTTTAAATTATTATTTTGGTAATTGCCTTAAAGTGGCGTTAAATTAATGCAAGGAATGTGATAGAGTCCCATAATAAAGCCTTGTCGCGAGCAATTAGTGCTGAAACTGAAAGAAAGATAGAGCCATGCTCTATTTTTTTTGTATACCTTAGCACCCGTTTCTTTCTCTTTTCTACCTCAATTATCTATCTCTACCTTA